TCCTGCTGGAAGACTTTGATCTGGAGGGTAAGACAGTGGGCTAGAAGTGTCATACAGGCTTGCAATACTAAATGAGGATAAGTGAAGGATAATGGTAATGTTTATGATGCAAAGTTTACATAGGCATACAACAGATTGTAATGCAGTGGAATCCTTGCAGTTGAAAAAAGGACAGCATTGATGGAAGAAGAAATCAAGAATATTCAGGAGTCTATTCGGCAGATCTACAAAATTGACTTACTTCGTTATCCTGAAAAAACAAAGAAGATGCTCTGGGTTGATCACATTAAACAGGTATATAAACTCTATTTAGTTTCTTCCTTTCATGATGTGGGGGACCCTCCTCAATAGAAAGTAACAGTGTTTGCTTAAAAACTGACAGGTTCTAAAATCAGGAGTTGGTTACTATGTTACTAACCATAGCAGTTTTCAAAACAACTTTTCTCCAATAATTATATTTAGTATTGTTCTATCCAGGTTATCTAAAATTAACTATGATTTGTGATGAGAGGCATAAAATCTGCCATCTTAACGTTTCAACATGGACCAATCTATACTTAGCCCAATGTCGACGGGAAAATGGTGCATTCCCTTTGGCAATACGTTGTTAAATGTTTCTGCACATGGATGGCTCTGCTAATGCTTTCCTGCACCTCACTTTTCCTTGAAACCTTGCACTTTTGATTATGCTTTGTATCACTTGAAATTTGTGATATGTTATTTTTGTTATAAACATTATAATTACTATATTGTTACTGACATTACAAACAGCAGTATTAAACATTAGAAAATATCGAAAATCAAGGAAAAGGGTAAACAGGAGAGACAGGTAGTTCATGTAATTGGCTCATTGATGACTTAGTACTTGTGGAGCCATCTATATGTAAAAACAATTACTAAATTCAACACACAAAATGGGCAGTGACATGTACATATATGCCATGCCCAGCGGCTTGGGATTAATAATGGTTCTTTATTTTGGTGACAGATTGTTGAGGAGATCTACAGGCTATACTTGTAACAGCAATTCTCAACACTAACCTGGTCTTATATCCCTGTGATTGGATGTATTTTGCCATTTACTTTCATTTTATTGCTCCTATAAAGGTAGAAAAATAGCAATAATGGCAACAAAAAAGCACTTTTATCATTTGAGGTCTTTTGAAAAAGAATAAGAAAATGTATGTATACTGTCCAGTTGTAACAACTCTCCTGTAATACTTAAAAAAAAAGGTTAAAACCCACCAAAAGTTGCCCAAAAAAATGCTTAATTAGCATTTCAGGGATGGATGATAATTTAAGTGTACACTCACCACCCATAGCTGAATGCACACTTTGCTTGTGGAGACAGAAAGCTAGTGAAAACAAGACCCTCTTACCATGTATGCTGAATATTAGTAGAGATTTATTCCGTCATATAGTGGCCCCCTAACCCTCATGTATTAACCCTCACATATACATTTGTCAGCTATTTTGTTTATAGTGGCCAAACATTTGCATTGATGACCTTTGAATTTAAAAATATAAATCCTTTGTTATGAATATTCAAGAGGAGCTGCTAGTATTTACAGTTATATGTTTTGAATAGTGGAATCTATTCATAACAGGTTAAATTTTGAGCTTCAGGGAGGATGCCATTTCCATGCTCAGTATCTTGTTCTTGCCCATCATGACTGGCGGCACAGATTGCGTTACAGAAAATTGAATATGATGAAAAATAAATATATGTATTTTGGGCCATGTGATGGTAGTGAAGCATCCAGATTAAATGGGTTAACTGGACTTTAAATGAACAGTATTATTCTTTGCAATTATGGCAGCCAGTGGATGTGGGAAGCTAATTTTGCAAGTATTCTGAATAACAGTATGTGGTAGAGAATACTGTAGGATGTAGTGCTACCCTGAAATGGATGGAAATGAAATATAATAATAAAAAAATATAATATTAAATGCTTAAATTGAAAGGAACTTAGGAATTTTCCTAGACTATGAAAATGCTGAAGATTGTAGAACCTGTTATTTTTTAGCAAATATTATTACTTTCTATTGAGGAGGGTCCTCCACATAAATCATATTGAGTTTAAGACCTTATGTAGTGTAGAAATATCTGCATACCAGTATGTCAGATAGGAAAGATCATATATCACTTTTTGTATTTTTCTCTCGTTCTAGTTCTCACTATTTTATTCTTTTATTTTGCAGCAGAATAATCATGAGGTAAAATCCTCTGCAAGAGATAGCTTAGTCAATGTTATCAGCTCAGCTGATAGTATCTTACAATCTGCGGCCAAAAAGAGAGCAGTACGACCCCGGAAAGCTGTAGCCACTGTAGAGGACAATGGATTTTTGGCTCCTGTTACAAGAAGTGAGTCAGTTGTAAGCTTGTTGATATTCATGCTGTATAAACAGTTGCAGTTAATTTTATCATTGTTTTTGTATTTAGCCTTAATTTTTTTTTTTTCTATTATGGAAAGTAGCATTTGAAGAAGTTTTTTTCTGTTATGAAAAATGTTTGAAAAACTCTATATCTGTTTAGTAATATTATATTAAATTTTTGTATAGTGGTCCATTATTCAAAAAGTAGAGCACACCAGCAGTTTAGTTAAGCTGTCTAAAGAAGACTTTCCTTTGGTGCCTAATGCAAATAATGTTATTATCATGTAGATGTAAATAGGTCAAAATGTACCAGATATCCAAGGGAACCTTTAATTCTTGTAACCCTAGTGTATTCTACTAAAGAATTAAGAGAGATCAAGTGAATATAGTAATCAGTGCAGTTTTCATTCCAGTTATTCAAGGCCTGGTCATTTCACTTTTTCAAGATCTTGCCAGTGTCTGAATCCCATTCACTTGCCATCAGTCATGTTCAGCTTAGTTTCAGTTCAATATTGGCACTATAATTCAGTTTACTTTACTATTATAACTAAAATGAGAATGGTTCATTTCTAAGCTTTTAAATAGGTTTACATTATTTGATATATTATTTATTTCTCTGCAGGTACTCGAGCTAGTCGTCAGAAGCCAGTTTTTGGTAATAGCCAGGTTGACAATATGATTCCTCCTCCTTCAACTGGCAGACGTCAGAGAACAAAAAAAGTGGTAGGAAAATGATTGCAGTTGTTTATTTTTTGTCCCTATTATAATGAAAGTCACTCAAGATAAGTGAACAACTTGCCTGAACTGATGAGTATCAGTAACATAATAGGTTTACTGTTATAAATGTTACTGTCTACTATTACTATTTTGGAATTTGATCTCTTAATGGTTTTTATGAATAACATAACATAAGCAATGGCATATGCTTGCAATGTGTTCATTTTTTTTTTTATATATATACATATTTTTTCCCTCGAACTCAGGATATTGCAGCTACTCCTGCCAACCAGAATATTCCCCCAAGCTTTAAGTCATCCATGCTGGTTACTCCAAAATTTGATCCACGAACTCCACTACCTCCGGGGACTATAAAGAGAAAGCCAAAAATCGGAGAAATTGCCATTTCACTCACTGGTTCCCCCTTGCAAGTATCACCAGCTGTTAAGCCAAACTATGACATAAAGGTAAGGACTTTTTCCCTGTTGTATTTTGTAAAAAGATCATCTCTTTGTGTAGGGTGAGCTCATGGTCTTCACTGGGTTAAGAAGCCCTTTAATTTGATTGTATTGATGTATCTTACAGCATATAAAATAAATGTTTAAAGTGCTAAGATAAAATATGATACTTATCTATATGTATCAGTCTACTATTGTGTATGGAAGGAAATGTTTATTATAATACAACAGTCTTTCTGGTAGGGTTTGTGCTGTGTACAGCCAACCCATCCGTGAGTATGACACACACAAGCTTAATACATGATTGTGTCATGACAGCTATAGCTGTACCTATCTCTGAGAGGTTAATAAGATTCTGATTCCATAGATTGGTATATTACTTGGAATGCTATGAATGAAGTAATATGCTTTCATTTTTGAAGGACTGTCCATAGGAAGGCCTTTTATCCCCTTCCGCATATAAAGTAATGCTTGTCATCTTGAACTTCATACATTTATGTATAAAGAAATTTGACCATGCATCTTCTCTGTCAGCATTAAGAAGACTTTATAATTTCTTTACGTATGGTTGCGCATGCATTGGCAATTGCAGATTGACCAAGATTGTTCTGCTTTCGTTGTTTGATTAGTTTAATTTCCTTTTCTTTTTACAGGGCTTAATGCAGAACCTAGACCAAGATAATCTGGATGAAGAGACAAGAGCAGAACTTGAGGAGTTCCATGCTAAAGTAGGGAGGTTGCTGAATATGTGAAAATACAAATTTTTCCTTTTTTCCCAAAGAGATGAAGTGTCTCATCAAGGCACTTTTATGTGTAGATATTTATGAACAATGATGATTCTGGCATGCTTCTGAGATTTTGCAATAGAATCTTTTGCTTGAAAGGTCAGAACCTAAGTTAAATGTTTGTAGTACTTGTGCAAGATCATATTCCTCTTGAATATGATATATCTCAAATCAGAAACTATAACCTAAGTTTTCAGAAATGTGTATATAAATGTATATTATTTTCTTGGGAGGAGGTGCTACAATTACATATGTGTACTGTAATACTGTATTTTAGTTTAGAATGTATTATCACACAAAGTATTATGATAGATTAAATTTAGGTACTTTTTCATTATTTTAGCTTATACTCCATTAGTACATAGTTTGTGGTCCCGAAAGTGATTTTTTCTGTCCTTTATGTCTCTTATCAAGATTATTTCAACAGATTTCTTGCATGACTTGCAAACATGTTTATTTATCTGTAGCATATGCCTTCAGATGCCTCCATTACGATTTTTTAAAAAGAGATCCATGTTACTGCATTGTTGTTAAAATTGTTAGGTTTAAGATTAACTTGTCATATATATCTTGCAACAAAAAACATTTAAACAAGTCTTATGCAATGATTTTATTAGATTTATTTCAGCAGCAAGTAAATGGACACTGTACATAGAAAAATGTTTTTATGGTAATTATGAATCTTTTTATAGCAGAAGGAAAATATAAACTGGATTTGACATTTTTTCTTTTTTATTCTTACATCAACAATTATGACAGCGCACAACTTGTAATAAACAAGAGAAACAACAGAAATGGCTAGATGACCTGTAGAGTCTCTAACCAATCTGCTTTGGAACAAGGAACATACAATATCAGTTCTCATACAACAAATACATGTTCACACATCGTAACCACTTTCCCACAAAAAAAGAAAAGAAAAAATATATAAAAGAAAGCAATATTTTGTTGCAGTTAGTAAAATATTTTTTTTTTCTTTTTCTTTTTTTTACAATCCGACTACAGAGTAAATACTGAATGAAGTAAAAAAAAATTCTAGAGACCTGATAGCCCCTTGAAAAAGAACACAATAATCTCTGCAGATATAATCAAAGCTGATAACTTTGAGGCTGCAAGACTTCGAGTAAGTGAAATGTAATGGGTTCCTATTGTATTAGTGGTTCCTTACTCCAAGTTTGATACACTAAAGAAAGCAATCTGTTTACATGATACTATGCTGAGAGTTTGGGTTGCTTAAGAATGGATAATGCTAGACTTAGGTTCACAAGGTTAATGTTCAAGTGTAGTTTATGCTGTAGTATTACATTTTCACATCAAATTTTGACATAAAAAAAGAAATAAGAATATAAAATAGTAGTCAAATGCATATACATTCTTTGTCATTTCAAACAAGAATTAATTTACACATCCATCATCTAACCTTTGTCAACCAGATCCTAAGAATTGTGCATACTGAAATATAAACTAAGTGTCACTGCAAATGCCTGAAGACACCAAGACTGCACTACAAATTTGAACTAACTTCAGTCAAGGTGAAATGTTGCAGTTTTCAGAGCCTGTTATGGTGCAGAAAGTAACAATAGAAGAACCGCAATAATAAATGAAAACAGTTACACGAGCCTTTTGTCACTTTACTGTGTAGGGCTGCTAGATATCATTACAAATCATGAAATAAAGTCAAATGTAAATGATCCTCAAGAGCAACAGTTCTGATTCATCTAATAACAGTTGGATTAAAACTGATGACCCAGATAAAAAAGTTACAAGATTTATGTTTGGTGACTATTATTATTATTTAATATTTTTTTGTAAAAAGTAAGAAAAAGAAAAGGCTTACCAAATTTTTACCACTATTACTAGTTTCTACAGAAATTACTGTAGTATTTTTCCACCCATTACAATTATCACAAGTTTTGGATGGAGAAAATCTAAATAGTAAAAACAGGGAAAAAAGAGGGGGGGAAATAATAATAAAATAAAAAAATCACATTAAGTGTACTGGCCTAAAAAAGTAAGTTCTTTTCAGCAGTAAAGTTGAACCTGCAATAATTCGTTCAAGAAGTTTGCTCTCCAAGTAACAGATGTACAGTAACATTTCCATGGGGGGGTGAAAGAAAGAGAGAGAAAGAAAGAAAGAAAATAGTTAAATCAAGTCTAAAATATCAGTGCCTGTTCTCATTTCCTGTGAACCATATCAATGCTCATTAGCAACCTGGATTGAAAATGCAAGACAATCATTTTGGATTACCTGTTGGTTCTAGGGTTCCTTGGAGCATTGTGCAAAGTCTAGTGAGTGATGAGACCATAAGTGAATGTAACAAATGTGTTTACACAGTCCACATCATCTAATGAATGTGATAAAAAGCTATAAGGAAGTAAAAACAAGAAAAGGGAATAAAATCCATAAAGTTAAGTATGACTTGAGACAATACGCATTACCTTGATAAAATCACTATGATTTTTTGCAAGTAATTGTATATCCACTCATGATTTTGACATACACAAAGACAATAATCACATACTAGAGGCATGAAAGCCCAAGAGAATCCTTAAACCTGTTACAGTAAAAGGATTAATTTAAAATTTGTATTTGTACTCAAGTATGTACTCAAGTATAAATATGAAATTTCACTTTATATGAATACCTGCAATTATTATTGTTTCATTATGACAAAACAAGAAATCCAAGATGATGCATCAAAGTTGTAAGTTGTGTAAAACATACATGAGCATATAGGATCTACATTCATCTCTCAAAATGATAATGAAATAATTTTCTTATGAATATAGTTTCAAAGTCAATACTATAGCCATTGGGAAAACATCTAGATAAAACAGTCAAATAGATAATACTTATCACATAAGTAATGTTTATACAATTAAGCAATATACTGATAAAAAAATCCTTGGATAGCAATAACTCTCCAATATCTTTATTAACACAAAAATTTTAAACACATTTGTAACATCAACAACAATTGCACTTAAAAGCCTTTATTTTGATAAAGTAAAAACTATCATAACATATATATATCTAACTTTGGAAAAAAAGGAAATAAAGACTACCTGGCAAGCCTGGCAAGAATCAATTTCAAAATTATGAAAATCTATAAAGTAACCAAATGTCCTAAAAATGTACCACTTTCCCTCAAATCAATCTCCACTAAATTCTGTAGGAAAAATTGATTACAAAATTGATTACAGCCAATGCATGTCATCATTTCATCATTAAGAAATGGTTGGTACATGTTCCTGAAAGAAAACTGGCAAATTTTGTAAACCTCTTATTTTCCTCATAATATGAAGAAAAAACAATGATGTATGCATCAATATCAATAATTTCTTTGTCTAGCAGTGGGTGTAATTCACATATAGAACCCACTATATACTAACACAATAAACCTAATGATTTCCAAAATAAAAATTAAATCACATGCTGTTCATTATCAATATAAGCAGAGGGCCTCCAATGAACAACAAATACTTGTTCCACTGATCCATCTTTTCTTTAATTCTGACAGAAGTACAGTGAGTGACTTTTGCAGACAATATGTACATGTTCCAGAAAAGAGAAACTTGCAAAAAAATAAGGGCTGAGTCTATACTTAACAAAGTTATACTTTTCATTTCATAATCTATAGCAAAGTATTAAGGCTTACAATCATTGTCTTAATATCTACCCTTATATATATATTTTTTCAGTCAATCAATTTGGAGTAACATGTGTCTTCTGGTTTTACTCCATATCTATTGCGAGCTTTTAGAAAAAAACAAGTTTTTGCTTTATTTTCACTAAAAATTTCATTTGTACTAAAGGCTGTTTAATTATGTGTGATATTCAATTGTCCCCAAAGCTTTTCAATTTAAGGAATGACTCTTGGAAAACCACAAATGCTCTGCTAAACATACTCAAATCATGGGGAAATAAACTAATCTTGAAACATCTGATACTCTTCTCTTCTAAACATAAGATTTTTCATCCTTAGGTAAACTAACCCTGCCTAACTTTGTTAATATTAAGAGTTGACACATTTTTACATGATATTATAGAAGAAATGATCAAATAGATGATTGAAGGTAAGTGTACAACTATTGCACCATCTGACAAGAGTACGTAATTTTTCATGTACATAAAATGGGATTCAAAAGCTTTAACAAATCATAGTCTTTACAGATGGAAACATCTAGATGAATAGATAACACACTTACTTCTTAGGAAATGAAGAAAAGCTACATCATTCTAACCCTATACACATCTGCCTTCATATGCATTGGTATGCATAAAGTTAAATGTGGTACTAAGAAGTGAAAAAATCTCATCACAGCCTTCTGTGGCTCAATTATCAATCATTCTTAAACTCATTTTCTTCAATGTAAACGTCCATTTTATCTCACTCTTCAGCTTTTCAATGGTCACATAAGATACTAAGAGTATACACTAACAAAAAATAAATAAATAGATAAATAAAACAAACCAATTCCTAAAATCAAATCCAAATTCCTGCAGATTGCATCTAGCAGTCTGTTCATTCTGATATTAATAAACCTATATCTGTATATGATTACATCTAGACTTTTATATGACTATTCACAAACAGGCCTCAATGGGCATTATCCATGCTGTTTCTACAACAATCTGGAAGAGCTTTGCTGAAACTTTTTGTTTTCTATAAAAGATGTAGGAAGATTTACAGTTAGTGTATGTCAATTCAGTAACAAAAACAAAATACAATATTATTCCGCTCACTTCACTGAACGCCATTTCTACTCAATCAGCATTCACACTAACATGACCATCCTGCCTTGCCTTACTGGACGCCATCTTTTACCCTCTTGACAATCAACATAGCTCTTTGAATTGTTGCATTTGACTGAAGAACACAGAATACATAATTATGCTTCACGGGCTTTCATTTCTTGCCAATGTCTACTTCACTTGTAGAAGTTTTTAATCTAAGCAGTCTAATGGCCCATAATCACAGGCAAAAGATAAAATCTCTACACAATTTCCAAAGACACACGTACCAACACCCCCCCCCAACTCTTCCCTCCATCAAATAAGCGTCATAAACAAACAGATCGTCACACAGAATACAATATTCATTCCTTGTCAGCAACAAGGGTAAAAAATTTGTTTTATTGCACCTTCTTGAGCTTGTCATCCATGATTATGACAAAGGTACAGCTTCTCAATCACAAAAACCTGGCACTAATGCAATTCTCTTATTGTATAAAAAGCCAGTGACTTAAGACTACAACTTATGCACATTACAACATGAAGTACTTTAAAAGTAAAGACTGAATTCCTTGTATTTTACAAATAAAACTGTTTGGGTTATCGTCTATGGAAGCTTTGTCATAACAATTTATCAGCAAGTGCTATTTTTCAGAATATATAATATTCATTACAATGTATTCTCAACAGACAAAAGCTTACTTTGAATTACTTGTATCTATGCATTTGGCTACAAATTTCAGATATGATCCTCTGGCTATCTTTCTTCATATGATGTATCAACATTGCACAATTGGGTCATATATAGCTATGCTTTACATATTTGAGTCGCAGTATTTGTCTACATCTATGACTTTCGTTCTATGATACCCTGGAAAAATAGCCCAAAAAAACTGAAGTAGAAAATAAGCCAAAATCAACAGACTGATCTATCAATAGAAAATCAATGTGCAGAATCTCCTCTGAAATTTTTGCTGCAAGTTATCTG